TTTTTTTTTTTCAACAAAAAACAAGTGGGGTTGAGTTTTCTTAAAGTTTTGGCCATGTGGGTGTGGGGATATAAATACTGACTAGTGAGGAGATCATGGTTGGAATTAAAAAAATATTGGAAGAATTTGAAGAGAGAGGTGTGTTTCCAGTCTCCAATACAAAGACTGAAACTTTAGCTTTTAATGTGTTAATTTTATAGGGCAAATTGTTACTGATTTCGGTTATTCTTTACTTTGGGTCTGAGGACAGATAGGAATTTGAATTGCACTTGATTCTGGGTTTCCAAAGTTCTTTGCTTTAGGGGTTTATCTTTCTCACTTCCCTAGATGTTCTTTGTGTCAGCTACTCTTTTTTTCTTTTTTTTTTTAATCTCCTAATTTCTTCCGCAATTTAACCAAATAAAGCCAACCCACTTTGGTTATTCTATAAATCTCTTTATAACATTAACTATCTAGATTTTGATAGTTTGGTCCTAGAAAAAACAATTAGTGTTTATTAGTCATACCTCAAAAAAGTTAAGATAAAACTTATAAAAAAAAATAGTAGTTTTAATAAAACACCACATAAAAAGACAAAAAAAAAAAAATTATACTTAAAAGATGAGTTATTTAAAGTTTTTTTTCAATAGTAATTTATTAAAATGATATAATTTTAAGTGATTTTTGCCATAATTTTTTAGATGTACAAACTAATAAGCACTAATCTCATAAAAAAAAATCAAAACATGAATTTAATTGAGTTAATATTCATCAACTTGAAAATATTACATAATTAAACGAAAATCACACAAGTTCAAATATTTGTAATGTTTAAGATGTACATTTTCAAATGTACAAAGAAGGCAAACGGGAAGACAGGATGAGTTCTTAGGCCTTGGTATTGTGATAAATTTTGTAAAATGATGTTGGTCAACTCTTAGAAATTATATAATATATATAAGAAAATTTTGTTATCTCAGTTGGGTGTAAGGGACCAATTTTCATAAAGGGTGTACTAAGTTTTATATAAAGGAGAAGGTTTTTCTAAGGTGTCATTTTCTTCCTGATGAGAGAGGCAATTTGTTTATGTGTTGGGGCCGGCTATGGTGGGTGATACTTGGCACGCGTTTTTTTGAGATTAGTGCTTATTAGTTTGTACATCTAAAAAATTATGGCAAAAATCACTTAAAATTATATCATTTTAATAAATTACTATTGACAAAATTAATCCTCTGCCAGACGAGCAGCAGTCAGCACAGCCACCTCTTCCAGCTGAAGAAGAGCAGTGGAGCCACCTCCTCCAGCAGAGAATTAATTTTGTTTGTTTTTTTATTTTTGTAAAGACATGTGATCAGTTTGTAGTACTTATATTTTCTTAATGAAAGTTTATTTTTGAAATAATGTGTTTACTTGCATTCATCTTTTTGTTATTATAAATTGATAGGAGAACTGAGACTACCTTTAAGAAGGAAAGTTTATAAAAAGAAGTTAACCACTTCAGAAACAAATTCCAGAGAAGTAAACCACTTCAAGTGAATTAATAACAAGTATATCACTGTAAATGAATTGAGGGGAGATAAAGCACTTCAAATGTGAAGTGACATTTATTAACAGACGTGAGGTTCAAGGAACGAATGGATTAATTGACCTCGGATACATATAATAAGAGGTAAAATGAATTTCTACAGACATGAAGTGAGAAACGTAAAGAACAGTAAGACATAGATCACTTGAAAGAATTTTACTAGCGGTAGGATTTGAACCATTATCTTAAGAGAAAAAAAATAGGCTTATATATGACTTGATGTCTAAGGACCCGACGGCCAAGTGCCGGTGCTTTCATGTTTTGGTTTCAGAGAAGTGTTCGATTTTCATTGTCTATAAATATTTTTTTAACATGAAAGACCTTTATAGGCCTGGCAAACAAATTGGATATTTTCTACCAAAAAAAACAAAAAAACAAATTGGATATAATAAGCTTAAATTGGGTCATTTTGAATTTTAAATTTTAAATTTATTAAATTAGATTATTTTAAATTGTGTTCAAGAGAGTAAGTTTATTATTTATCTA